TTAAACCAAATTGGCTTGTTTTATATCTCTGTCCTTTATGATGACAAATTGTGACGCAACATTGTCAGAGTAGCTGTGGATCTACACATGAAATTGCACTAAAAAATAAAAGTTTAGAAATATATTCAATTCAAGTCTGCGCGTGATGGCGTCATGTATGTGTCTCTTCTCCCATTGCAGTCACAAATTACCTATTGAGCGCATGAGAAATTTTTCAGTTATCGTAGAATTATATGACTTTTTCTTTACATGGCTCGTTTTCCTTTGTTCTTCGAGGCTAACAATTATATTAAATAAACCCTGCTAACTAACAGCTGTCTGAAAAGCTGGTGGTGGCTTTGATTGTAACAGGGGAGTGCGGGGCTGATATTTTAATAACCCCCTAGGTGAATATTACAATAATATTCCCCTCGCACACACCCACATGCCTTCCATTTCACGCCCACTTATTCCAGACATTCAAACACTAGAAGTTTACCTTTTTAGTGTTTTTTGGGATTCTCTCACTGTTCCTGGCCAGCACTGAGGTCTTTGTCATCCACGACTATGATATCCCTCTTCGACGCTTTCTTCTTGTTTGCTGTAGTCTCTTTTTCAACGCTGCCGATTGAAACTTCTTGATGCTCGTCCGAGTGGTCAAAGCTGAACAACCCTTCTGTCGCCACTTTGTGTAAGGAAAACGTCTTCTTCAGAGTCACTCATTTCAATTCTGCCATCTTTGCAGAACAGCTGTGAAAAACTGAAGTAATTGTTAAGCTGTCAGTTCTATTCAACAATGTCCAAATCCCAAAGCTATTTTGCTAATCTTTAATGTATTGTAAAGCTTCTTTAGAATGCATATGGTTGTTTTGGTCGATAAACCAAAAGCAAAAAAATAAAATGTCTATTATGCTGTTTTACAATGGGTAAACCCCAGTGCGTTTTTTTCGCAACCATTGTTCTATTGTCAAGTGTATGCAAGGAAAACTATTTGTTTTCCGTCAGTGTCCGTGTGTCAAAACAACGAACAAAAACATATCGCCGTTGATACCTCGCCCATGTCAAAAATAAGCCGGTTATTTTGAGGCCTCTCGTGGATATGTGATTTATTTACCTCGCGCTGCGTCCTCGGTTAATAAATCACATATCCCCTCGTTGCCTCAAAATAACCCTTACATAATGACATTGACGATCACAGCTAGGCAGTATGGAGCCAGTGGCTTTTACATCCGGTATCGAAGTAATTACACTCTCAGTGCTTGATTTGTTTTAACATTTTATTTATATCAACAGGCGTGACTGGTCCGTGGGGGTTGACGGGATTGAAGGGGGAACCCGGCGAATCCATTTCAACTCCAGATGTCACTGTATCACCTGTCACTCAAACAGTCACTGACAACCAGACCGCTATATTTTACTGCTCGGCCAGTGGAAATCCAAGGCCTGCGGTGGCCTGGGGCAAAGTTAACGAATCACTTGGAGATAAAATACTGTCTACAAATGATGGCAAACTTGAAATACCAAATTCATCTTACAACGACACGGGAAATTATATCTGTACAGCAATAAATGTCTTGGGAGAGGATCGAAAAATGACAAAACTTTTCGTCGAAGGTGAGTCACCGTTATTTTGGTTTTTGATTATAGGAATTGTGAACCTTTAAAATAAAACAAGTTAAAAACAAAGTTATTAAAAAAATTGACAAAACGAATGATCGTTATTGACAAAAAGAATTACAGTTATAAAAATAGTCTATTTCAAATTCAAACCCTGAGTGAAAACAAACACTTT